ACATAGTCCAAATGTCCAAGGAACAATTCGACGAACTAGTTTCTCATATTACGACTTCTGCATCAACCCCCTGCTGCCTCCGGCAAATGCGGCTATGGCCGGCCCCTCGTCCAGGCGTCCCGAGACAGAGCTAGTCTAAATGTTTGAAAACCAATACGACGAGCTAAAGGATATTCGTTGACGACAGCCCCGTTTCGTGCATTTACACTATCACGGGCGTGCCTTTTTGAATCCTTTCCAGCTTTACAGTAGGTTGCAACTTGCGGGGTATTCGCAGCTCACAGCATGCCCGTCCTTTAACCTCTTTTTGTTGGTTGTGTATTTCACGTCGTTTTTTCTCCTTGATTTTCATTTTAGGCAGTTACACATTCTCATACACGCAAAACCATTGCTCCGGAAAGAATCGGAAGGAATAATGAGTTTTCTTTAAAGTTGCAATGGCGGATATCGTGGCATGAGTGAAAGTGCAATGTTTTCTTCAGTGTTTCATAATGATTTGCCTTTTTTCTTCTTAAGAGAGACTGCTGAAGTGGCTGTTTCAGCACTTCTACATCAAGGAGACATGTAGGTGTGCTAAAATAAACATTTCAGTGGTCTCATTTGAGGAGAAGGCATGATAGCCATCACTGCTCATGAAGAAAGCACATTCTTTCCCCTAACTATGCCGGGGCGATAGTTTACGATTCTGAAAATGTTTGTATGGTATGTAAAAAGGAGCATGAATTCAATAACTGTACCAAAACTTTTTTTCCTGCTCTTTCAGTATCCATCAAAGCAGAACTTTAGAATGCTCAATCGAGACAACTTAAAAGAAAAGGAGAATGAGTTTCTGATGAGCAAGTGCCTGAACTGAAGATTAAAAAGGAAAAAAAAGATGAGAAATGTGGAAGAGGTTAAAGGACATGGATGCTGCAAGCTGCGAATTCCCTGCGCGCTGTAGCGTACTGTAAAGCTGGAAAGGCTTCAAAAAAACACGCCCGCGGTGGTGTAAATGCACGAAACGGGGCTGTCGTCAACGAATATCCTTTAGTTTCCCTAACAACTTCCGGGTCCACCCCCCCCCCTGCTGCTTCCGACAAGTGCGGCTATGATGGCCGGCCCTTCGACTAGGCCAACTTTTACTAAGCCCGGCCTCGAAAAACAATTCAACTTTAATGCGTCAGTATTAGCAGCACTGTCTCCGGCCTTAGAGTATCTGCCAGAGGAGGGAGAGACCGAGGATTGCCTGCGGCGGGCAATCACGCTTTTGACTCAGAGGAATGAACTGTTAACCATCGCAGACACGGATCCTGAAGTATTCGAATTTTACGACGAGCAATCAAAAGCGGATGAGATGCAGTTAACGAACCCTGTTCTCGCCACATTTATCCGCGAAAAGAAGAAAAGAGAGGACAAAAACCGATACGGTGAAGGGCACGGTATGGAGTGAGTTTTCAAATAAAGATGATAGTGCTGTGATACCGTACTTTACGGAGCCACTTGACAGGGGAGACGGCCCTTCTGAACCCACCGTCCCCTACAGTAATCTAGAACTAGGACGCGCGCGCATGCGCTGCGATGACTGCGGACGAGGGGTGTAGGACGTTTCGCACGACCGTAATGCTTTCCACACAGGACCACCGCCGCGCGCGGCACACCCTGCGGCGGCTTTTGCCTGAGCAAAACAGGGGGAGGAAAGATTTGCGGCGTGCATTACATGTTAAGACAAGTCAAAATCAGGGAGACGCTGGAGACCGTCCGTGCGAAAAGACCGTCTCCCCAAGCCAACCACGCTGATTTTAACCAAACACAGCTACCATCCTCTGAGTGTTTGGTATTCTGAGCCATACTTCCCAGCAGGTATGTTTGTGAATTCCTTACTTCCAAGCAGGTATGTTTATGTTTATGATTTATGGAACATTTCCGAAGTCTTTTCATTTCCATGATTCATAAAAAATCTTCTCATGAATCTCCTTTGAATTCTTTCGAACTTTGTTTTTTTTTGCTTTTTTCCACTTATATCCCATTGTGTGCGATCCTTATAACCTCGTGCATCGTCACATCATATTGCTAATGTGAGCTGCTTGATGTTATTGAGGAAAGCCCACGTAATCAAAGTTTGTGTAACAACTTTTCATAAAGGCCAATTATAACTTAAATTTGTGATCTACGCTAATTCGTTATCAAATGCGTATTTCACTGTTGTATAGACGTCGACACGATACCCAATTGACACCGTGCGTCAAAAATGCGTACTTGATGTAAATACAGTGTACAATACTTACCTCAACCTGTAATTAATATTTTTTCAACATGTACTTCCTCCCCATCTCTCTGGAGTTGGGAAAATGACTGAAGAAAGTATTGGTAAAACTGATTGATTTTAAATATCACTACTCGTACTGAAATCTTATATCATGGGGGTTATTTATCATGCTGATTCCAAAAATAGTGCTCATTTTGCTTGATAGCCGTTCACCGATTCCCCATAGCTAAGTTTGGAGTTATTTGATGTGCCAAGTGGAAGTGCAGGTCAGAGGTAAGGATGCTGTCTCTCCAGATTACTCACGTGATTACCGATGTTTCCAGATTGCCAATTCCAATTACTTTTATCACTTCTGACATTCATTGGGCTTTCGATGCTATTGTAGGTTCGAGCGCGTAAGAGGTAATGTATGATGTTTGGTAAATTTTTTTCAAACTAATCTATCAAATTGAAGGTATTTTTATGACCTGGAAACTCGGAAGAGCAAGTTCTACCATTGTTTAGACATTATGTGCACAGCAGTCTCGAGTCTTCCATTCATAGAATAGATGATATGCGAAATGAGTATCATCTTTTAACTTGTGCAAAACAAACTAAACAGAATCTAAGCGATTCTGTTCAGTAACGGGCAGCTGCTGCAGCTAAAATAAACGACTATCGAGCAAAATGAGTACCATTTTCGGAATCAGCATGATAAATAACCCCCATGATTTGATTTCAGTACGAGTAGTGATATTTAAAGTCAATCAGTTTTACCAATACTTTCTTCAGTCATTTTCCCAACTCCAGAGAGACGGGGAGGAAGTACAAGTTGAAAAAATATTAATTACAGGTTGAGGTAAGTAGTGTACACTGTATTTACATCAAGTACGCATTTTTGACGCACGATGTCAATTGGGTATCGTGTCGACGTCTATACGACAGTGCGTATTTCCTTCTGACATTTCAGTGCATCTCTGTAGCTTTCCAAGAAACTTATCATCTCCTTAAAATTCTCATTCCTAGTAAAATTTACGAACGTGCACTTGAAATTTTTACGCTTTAAAAAGCATGATGCGTGCAGCAAAGAAAAAGGTCGCTACCAAAATCAATCCATGTAGATCATGCTACCAAATGAAGTGATGCATTTTTATTTGATTGCGTCTTCGATATGGACGGTGTAAGAAGAACTTCATAAAAAACTAAAATCTCATCATAAAAAAACGTATGCTTCCCTACTGGCATGCATGTAGTGCACATTTCAATTGAATGTGACTAGATGATGCTGCAAGGAGGCAAACGTAGGAGAGTAGAGTATACAATCGAACTCACAAAGACCTAGGAAAGTAGAGCAAGCAATCGAACTAAAAAAACCTGTAAAATAAGTATAAAAAGACCTGAAAATGTCTCATAGGTCAAAAACATACCACCTTAGAAAGTAGCCGGTGATTTAAGTAGTGTAGAGTAGAGCGAATAACTTAAGTTATTGAATTCTAGGGAATTTGGGGGAATTAGGAATTTTCTAGGGGATTACTTCCAGAATCTCGTTGTGGAGTAGGTTACCAGCGATGTGAAACTCGTCCGCCTCCGCAGCGCGTCTGCCCAGGTCAGCTGCTCGCTCCCGCGAGCTAGCCAATCATGGTGTGACCTCTAATTAGCGCTGACCTCTTATAGCCGTCGCGATTGGGGATGGTTCAGAAGGGCCTACACCCACTTGACAGCTATTGTACTCTAATTCAGGGGCGCGTTTTTCGCCATACCCGCGGCCCTTTCGGGTCGGAGGGGCGGCTCGGGCCCCCGCCCCTCCTCCTTTCCAGATGCCCCGTCCAGGACAAGGCCGTTTCAATTCGCACATGCATCCCGGATATCAAGGCCGCCCCCGTGATATGTGCTTCAACTGTGGGAGGTATGGCCACTATGCCCGCGAATGTCGCGAGGAGGCCTAATAGTGAGTTTTATGTGGGACATATCCATGACTGCCTGGAGTTTTGGAATAGCTTGAGGCCTTCCCCGTTTCTGAGAATTTTGCTTCAAGAAGGCTACACTCCCGAATTCCTTGCTGAGCCCGCATTAGGATTCATCAGAAATAACTGTAGGTCGGCGTTGTTGCATGAAGACTTCGTGGACTCAGAGATAGGGAGTCTCCTGCGTAGTGGAGCAGTGGTCAAGGTCGCTGAGAAAGAGGAAATTAGAGTCAGCCTTCTGTCTTAGCTGAAGGGAAAAGTTAAGACTCATATTGGACCTATCAAACCTTAACACCGTGGTGGTAAAGAGTAATGTGAAATTCGAAGATGTTGCAAAGGTAGCTCCTTTATTGCCACCTGGCGGATTTATGGCATCACTCGATTGAAGTCAAGATATCACCATGTAAAAGTTAACAAGCATTTTCACAAGTACTTCGGATTCTTTTAGAAGGGTAGTTATTACAAATTTGTGGTACTTCCATTTGGGTTATCGTCCGCCCCCATGATTTTTACTAAATTGATGAGACCCTTCCTTGTTGGGCAAGTGGCGAGCAAGCGGAATTAATGTGGCGCTGTATCTGGATGACTGGCTTATATGGTCCGATTCCGCACACAGGTGCGAGGAGGCAGTAAGAGTAGTTAAAGAGGATTTGAGTGATGCCGGCTTCTCGACAGCCGAGGAGAAATGCTCATGGACACCGGTTCAGAGGCTGGTTTGGCTTGGTCATGACATTAATCTGATAACTATGACCATGAATGTGAGTAGTTAGAGGAGGAAAAGGGCCAGAGAATTGGCTGGAAGGGTGCTAAAGATGAGAGGCCCGTCTCTCAAGGATAGGTTAAAGTGGCAAGGTACATTATCCTTGACGCACTTAGTGATTCCTTCAGAGTTGAAGAGGAGTTGGAAAGCGGTGGCAACTGAGGTGGCCGAGAAAGATCGAGCGGGTACGGCATTAGCGTTCAGGTGGCCACTTACGCAAGAGGAGAGAAGAGAAATCAAAGGTTGGTTGGAGTTTGACTACAGGTTTGAAGGGATACCTATCGCTGCGATTCCGGATCTATCTAACGAGCTTAGGGATCGTTCATACCGCGCACAAAGGCGGACGAAGGCGGACGAAGCCAGACAAAGCCGGACAAAGGCGGACGAAGGCGCGTCTTGTCTGTCTCGTTTCTTTCGACACACTCATACACACACTCACACACGCCTCGTCTCGTTTCTCTCGACACACACACACACACTCACACATGCCTTCGTCCGCCTTTGTGCGGCTTCGTCCGCCTTTGTCCGGCTTTGTCCGGCTTCGTCCGCCTTCGTGCGCCTTTGTCCGGCTTTGTCCGGCTTCGTCCGCCTTCGTCCGCCTTCGTCCGCCTTTGTGCGCGGTATGAACGATCCCTTAGGATATTTTCGGATGCATCTGAGTTCGGGGTGGGGGCCGTTTTGCATCTGAATTTAGAGCGAAAAGTATCAGTTTCTGCCAACCTGCCCCCGGAATTGATGGGAATGTCAAGTACGGTTAGAGAGCTCTATGCCATACTGTTCGATCTGAGAGCATTCCGCAAGCATTTGGTAGATGAGGAAGCTATCTGGCATTGCGACAATCAAGCGGCTGTCGCCTTTTTACGGAAAGGTACCACAAAGTCGCAGCTGCAGAAGGTAGCCGAAGACATCTGGACAATTTGCGCGAGACTTCACCTCACAGTAAAATGACTGCTGGATAGCTCGAGAATTCAATACGGAAGCCGATTTAGCTTCGCGCTCCTAGATTTTGACGACTGGAGCGTCAGGGCCGAGGTAAGCGCGCAGTTGCAACAGCTGTGGGGTCAGTGTACTGTAGATTTTTTTGCCAGTAATCTTAGCAAAAAGTGCGCCTCCTTCTTCTCTAGAGAAGCTTGTGCAGAGGCAGTTGCGGTTAAGGCGTTTTCAGAAAAAGCGGTAATATGGTGGAAAAAGGAATTTGCATGGTGGGTCCGCCGCCAAACTGATAACCAAAACTTTGTTGTGGGCTAGGCGGCATAAAAGCAGAGGTACTTTGGGTTTTCCCATGTGGTGGCCATCGAATATCTTTTTTCCGAGTTTGCGGGAGGGTGATTTATGGATACCCCACATCTTGGATTTAAAGGTATTCCCAGCTGGAAGCCCGATTTTGGTCGGAAACTCACCATCCTACATGTTTGCGGGGTATCGCTCAATTTTGACTTCGCCTTCGCTCTTCTCCAATTCTAGCCCTCGAGCTTTAATCTTTCCGCTGCGTTGTTGTGAATCGCAAAACAGAGGTTTTGCCTTAGAGTATCGAAGAGTTTTGGATGGAGTTTTGCGATTTCACAACCGCCTTAGTGGCGGTCCAAGCACGCATAGAAGGCGGCACTTGTTTACTTATGCGAGCTTGGTCGTTGTTTTCACCATTCCGGTCGTTCGTCAACTTGGGACCCACCCACCCACCCTATTAGGCGGCAGAGAGAGTCTATCTATAATAGAAGTAATATCTAGAATACTATGAAGTCCAATGGTGTAAGCTAGGGGTAACTCCGCTAGTTAGATAATTAGCTAGTAGAAGGTCTTTCTGGATGTTAGAGTGCTTATAACGCATTTCGGATGTCAAAGAGTCGCTAGTTTTTCCTCTTTTCAGAGCGCTTCACCGATGCTAGGCGGATAAGAGCTGAGGAGACCGCTGAGATCGCGGTCGGGGCGGGCATGAGAAAAGTGGCCCAGCTGATTGACTCTTGTTTCGAGAGCGCGCTAGCGCCAGGGACCGTAAAGATATATAGGAGAGTGCAAAAAGAATTTTTGGATTTCATTCGAAGGTTCGGCGTCCCCGTCTCGGCCTTACACAAGCTCAGAAATGTGTACGTAGCGCATTTGATCGAAAAGGAGAGGCTTAAATCCCTTGGATGTCATGTGGCGGCGCTAGCGCACTTCTTCGGGCCCCTTCCAAGCGAAGATGAAGAGATCTTACGCGCTTTATTGCGTGGGGCGAAACGAACTACATCTCCTCCAAGGCACAGGAAGAAGGCAACTCAGAAGGACGTGGATACGGTGATCGCTTGGGCTCTGCAGAAGAAATCCTTTGCTGGGGTGGCAGGAGCGGTAATGATCCTTTTCTTGTTTGCTGCCTTTCTGAGAGTGGGAGAGCTTTGCGAACTTCGCGTTTCCGGCATTAGCCGGAAAGGCAATGATATTTGGTGGCTGAATATAAGAAGGTCAAAGACTGATCAGGCTGCCCAGGGTGCAAAAGTAGCATTCCGATTAGGAGAACAGGCCCTCATACTTTGGAGCGTATTTGAGAACTTACTTCCACCAAGTTCAGAACAATACATTTTTAGCAGAACTTCCAAAGCGCCCTCGAGGGATGTCGTCGCTCGCCGTATCAAAGGAATTCTCGATCAAGCCGGCCTGCAACACAGGAAGCTCACAACGCACTCCTTCAGAGGAGGCGCTGCTACAACTGCAATACGATCAGGACTCCATTCAGCAAATATCATGCGCGCGGGAAGGTGGAGATCAACGGAGGCATTTTTCTGCTATATCGATCTCAGCCCTCTTTGAATTGTGCCTGTATTATATCCGTACCCACAGGTTTATGTTTTGTCTCCTGCTGTTAGACTTTGTTCTCTTTTTGTTCTGTGTCGGCATAGCCTGACTTACTCCGAAAGTATGCTTATCATCTGGTTATCGTTCTGCGGATATGTAGCTCGTGTTTTGATTCGCTTTTGTATGGTTAACCACTATTCCAGGTCACTGTTGCTATCTCAGGCTCATTTTACCGCATATTTACGAATTGTAATAATCATCATATCCTATGCGGAGTTTGCTCCTTATTGTACGGAGAGTTGCGTCGAGATTTCTGTGGGCCGCTATCTCTTTATTTCTTTTTCGCTCCACTTCACTGCTTCAGGGGCAAGCGGTCTTGCTTTTCATAACTGTTAATCTGGGTCCCGGCTTTGGGAGGATCTCTGTACCATTGATTTTCCAGTGATCTGTTCCGTCTTATTTTGTCCCGCTCCGCTTCATAATTGCCTCAGGGAGCAGGCTCGCATTCTGTTTATGGCCACAAGATCGTTTCTCAGGACGCGAAATTACCTCTGTACCATGATTACCGATGTTATGCGCACTTTGAGATTTTGAGCTTAGTATGTATCTTGTGTTCTTAGCGATTTGATCTATATACGTTTCGCTCGCTTTTATGCAGACGATACGCTATTGGTACTCTGACCGTTACTATATACTGTGTTTTGGTCCACTTCTGTAAGTTCTGATGCATTTATCATCTGCCTATTGGCTACATACCCCGCTTTACGCTCATAGTACGTATTTTGTGTCGGCGGGAACTTTTCCCTATGTGTATCTGTTGACGAATGAACCTTCTCCGCTGCGTTGTTGTGAATCGCAAAACAGAAGTTTTGCCATAGAGCATCGGAGGCAAAAATGGGGTTTTTGCAATTTTGCAATTCTGCAACTTCGTCATCCCATCTCCGTTAGTTTGGGACCCACTCATCCTCCTCAATTTGGGGCTATGAGGTTCTAAATCGTATATAATGCGTTTGGTAAATTTGAAGTGAATTGCCGAGATTTTTCCCCTAGAATCGCAGCGGTAATAATTTGGTGGTTGTGAAACTCCGCGCGCGCGGTTTTATAGTTTTGGAAGCATAAGAGCCTGTACTGAGTTTTGAAATGCGCTGGGGGCGTAAGTGATCCAGTTGGGAACCTCTTACCAATTCTTCCTCGTTCAGATCGGCTCATTGATGCTCAGAGGAAAAGAGCCAAAGAAACAACCGAAGATGATCGCTGTAGTGCAAGCTCGAAGAAAGTAGCAGAGCTAATTGAATCATGCTTCGACAGTGCGCTGGCAGCAGGGACAGTTCGAATCTATAGAAGAATGCAAGAGGACCTCCATGGGTTCATCGCAAGGTTCAGTCCTTGTGTCTGCGTTACGCAGGCCCAGAACATTTTTGCACACCTGATCGTTAAGAATGAATGCAGGTCCTTAGGATGCCATGTTGCGGCGCTAGAGCATTTCCTTGAAGCGGGAGGATGACGAAGTCTTGTTTAGTGCGTGGAGCGAAGCGGACCCTTCTCATGCAAAACACCGATGGAAATATACTCAAGAAGACGCCGGCACGGTCATTAATTGGGCGTTGCAGCAAAAGACGTCTGCGCCGATAGCGGAGGGGGGGGGGTGTGGATGTCATCGCTGTGTGATGGATACTTTTGGCGTTCTGGCAGCCTAGGTCACGCCCTCTAAAGGTGTGACCATACTCCCTTTCCCGCAAGGCGGGGTGTAGTGTCTACATCCTTAGCTGGAAGAAAGTGCTCCTTAGTTGCTCTCGTATACGTGCTTACTGTGTATTCTTTACAATGAATTCTGAACCACCACCTTTGCTATTTTTGTTATCCTTACGGACCTGTAACATAAGAGTCTCTAGTACCCGCATAAGCTTGATGCATCGGCCAAAATAGACAACTTACTCTCGCATCACAGAATGATATCTGCGATAGCCATCAGTTGAGACATGCGTCAAGCAACCACGCACAGGTAATAGTTACCAATCTTCATCCCAGATACAAACAAAGGAAAAAAGTCACCCAATCACAATTAAACCGTTGTTGTCAGCAAAACAATTGACAATTTTCGCAGATACACTCAAGGAGATAAGTCGAATAATAACAGGCACTCTCAACAGCTTCGTTTCGGCGCACCTGCCGTAGAGCACGGTTGTATTGAGCCTTGCGCTTATTCTGATTGGATCCGCAGCTGCCTGTCAGAGCGGATATACCCGCGATTCCGCTAGTATCGTGTGTAATGAAGGCTTCTGCAATTATCACTACTGTAAAGATCTTTCAATCGACTAATCAACGAATTCTGCATCGACATACATCACGAGAACAAAACGATTGCAATAGTGAACGTCGTCAGGAAGGGGTGACATGCTCAGAAGTGATGAAAACACTCACAAAAAGCACAAGAAACATACACTTCGTAGAGATATGCAGCGGGTTTGTGTACCTCAACTAGACGCCAAAGCATTAGCCCTCGTGAGACGGTAAGCGAATTAAGAAAGTACAGCTCATAACCAGGTTGCACTGGATGCACTTGCACTTGGACTACCGTGTGTGTCTGCTGCCAATTCCAACTTGCCGACTCTACAAAGTAGCAAAGAGACCTACATCGGATGCAGTTTACGAAGTAGTGAAGTGCGCCGAGTGGTCGCCATCGATAGAAATCGACGTAAAGTGACAAGGACCAACAGTGAAGAATCTTCGCACCTGCACATCAAACGCAGCGGCTTAGTAGAATGACAACTTTGGGATATTCATCGTTCTCGGTTTTCCTGGTTGAGCTAAGTCCAAGACTGTGCTGCAAAGTGCTATTTTTGGGCGGACGGCGTATGCCTGCGCTCTAGAGCGCGATTGGCTCGTGAGTGGAGACACCGTACCCATTTCGGCGGCAATTGGATTACTGGCTCCAGCAGCCACTTTCGCGACCCGCCCAAACAGCATTTCGACGTTTGATTAATTGATTATTAACCGGGTTATTAATATCGTTCGAAGCTGAAAAGCACAGTGAACCAAGAACGATGAGTATCCCAGAGCTGTCATTTTGCCGACCGCTGCCTTCAAGCCTTACATTCCCCAGACATTTAACCGATCCAATATGACGGCGATTTCTGTGCAAAACCACAATCCCATCTATGGACCAAAGATCCGCGATAACGAAGCCTATCTCTTACCTGCACAAATTACAATTCCAGTAGAATATGCGAACAAGAAAGAAGCAAGTCCAGGATTCCATAAGTGCAATAAGCAAGTCAAATGTCATTGCAATGGTAAGTCTATTGCCAGTGCCCCGAAGAATCCCGATCACTTCAGGATACTAGTTACGTGTTAGGTCTCGGGCAGAGTTCACGCAATTTCATCGCCGCAATCTATAGCGACAAGACAACTGTAACAACATCATTGTATACCGATTTCTTACATTTCGGTTATGATAGTTTTCCAACACGACTAATCGTGACTAACTATCACAACCGAATTCAAGAAGATTGGCATGCAATGAACTCGTAACACTTGTCTTGTCGCGATAAATCGCGACGATAAAATCGCGGAACTCTGCCCAAGGCCTTTGCCCTATCTAATAATATATCGAATTCTATTCAAGATATAGGATTATTTCAGATTACTGCGGTCTGTACCTATTTTGGTGCAGGAATTATGCAACAACCTAATAGTTATAGTTCATTTATAAAATCGTGACGACGGATTTTACTGCGGACTGCTCCCACAGAAGCATAAAACGCTTATGCAAGAAGGCATCACCTCAACGTTCATCGCAATCACTTCCAGTTATCGAACATCATCATACGTAAGCGAAAAAACATCCGAATAGAGATGAAAACCAAGCAAATGCGATCGGAAGTGGCGTGCGTGTGGCGCGCCCTCGCTTCATCGTCACGATTTTTCAAATGCCCTATACCTAGAGCGCAGGGCTTACCCGTAAGGAAGAGTTAGGCAAAAGGCGGCAATAGCTTGCACTTTCGTTCTTTCTTGGAGGAAAGCAGACTTATAAGCTAGAATTCAGGGTATTTTGCTATGTTCACCGGTTATTTACCATCGCTACTGCTCCAATGCGAACACATCGCTGCCTCAAATAGTTAGTTCATGTGCTCTTTGTTCATCGATACAGGGGTACATAACACATGTGCTCTAATCCGTTGGAGTTCTTGAGTCATTGAATCTTGACAGATTTGGGGTCAAAGAAAGAAGGAAGCGATTTTGCAGCAGTTGCTGCAAACAACATGCAACTTTTTTTGTTCATTACGTGAATGTAAGTGTTTACCGCCCACTACCGCTGCAGGAAAAAATATCCTCATCAATAAGAGTCGGCAACTGTTTGTGTAAACATCTCTGCTCGTCAACGTTTACACAGCACGTTTTCCGCGAGTGAAAAACTATGTGAAACGAGTGAAGGCAATTATTATTGACTTAAGTTTGTGTTCGCCTCTCAAAAAATGCTTCCCTCCCACAAGTAATATAAGTTCGCTTGAGGCCATTGTAGGTAAGAACTATCTGGGACATAGATAAGTTACTAAAAAGCTTGAGTCTCCATAATACAGCAAGAAAACAGGGTCCCTCGTATCCTAAGAAAGCTTTTGAAAAGCTCTTTCAAACCATAGCGAGTTACAGATGAAGCTTAGAATTAATCCGATGAAATGTGGTCAAAAATATGCCTTTACTACCGTAAACAAATTTACTAATTGGCTTTGTAAGTAGCAAAAATCATATAAAAGATTTTGAAGGGTATAGCTCGTATATTTTCAAGCGCCCGTTTCGAGATTTTTCGAAGCTGTTGGTCATATCCCTTCTTATACAGGATCTCAAATTTCAATCCCTGCACATTGCTAGGAGTTTCACTTTTCGTGCAATAATCAACCCTTCAAGCGCTTTCGCCTGTTTTCTTGAAAAAAAAAAGTCTCTTTCAAAAAACATCACAATCGATATGCCTCATAGAAACTGTTTTGCCCTTTTTCTGATTTGAAGAGCACCTCAAA